GAAGAATACAGAGTTGATTTTCAATTTCATTATAAATTAAGGTTCTTGCTTTTTTCTCGCCAATTTTATTTTTACTACTCATCTTACGAACTTGAAATTCAAAATCCCTATCATAAAGAGACCAGCACATGATTTCTTCCTGATTAGCCTTCGAAGCTCGATCTTCTGCGCCTATGGCTGTATCACACAACTGAGCTAAATGTTGTGATACCTCATTAATGTCGAATGAATTAAAAATACACTTTGCAGAACCATCCATGTCCTCAAATTTTTTGGGATGGGCCGTCTCGGAAATTTCGATCTGTCCTGGTTTAATATTTTTTGATATAGAGTGATCTTGTGAACTCGGCTCTAAAGAAATATTGAATAATTCTTACTGGAGTTTATCTGTTCCCTTTTTCTTATGGCTAACCAAAGATAGGCCTTGATCTCGAAGCTTCTTCTTCCTATTGTGTTGTTTTATCTCGCCACTAACTCTTTCCTTACTTTTAAAATCCAGAAACTCATCGATCTCTTTATTTTCTGATGATTTAGGCTCGGACGAGTATGTATGATTATTGGAAGAAATATCAGATGATGCTTCGTGGAAAATAGAATCTTCTAATACGTGTACGCTATCACTTTGTGTCTGCTTCTGTTCCAACTTCGTGACTCTGTTTCTGAGCTCAGCATTTTCAGCAATGAGATTACTGGTGTCTGTTTTATTTTTCTTTTCTAGCTCCTCGAATCTGGTCTTAAGTTCAGCATTTGCTTCTATAGCTTGTTTCAATTTTATATTCTCGGCTTTGATCTTGGCATTCTCCTTTCTAAGCTCAGCAATCGTGGCAATGAGTTGAGAATTTAATTCTTGCAACGAATCGATTTTTGATTGTGTGTCTGACATTGTTTATACAAGATGCGGGTATGTTCAAAAGTTTGTTAAAAATCACATGACTCTGATCCTCACGATTCGTACATAATTTAAAGGAAATATATGTGCGACAGAAAATTTTTTTACGTAATGACCTGATGAATCGTGTGATCGAAACATAAATAAGGAAAGAATCGATGATCAGCCATTCCATTCTTCCTTTAACCAACAATGTCTTCCTCCAAAATAACTCAACACTTTCGTGGGACGATTTTTCAAAATCATCTCGCTAACCGTCGAGTACTATTCCTTCAGTCGCCGAGTCTTATGTTGAGAAACTTGAGACCTGACTTATTTCAATCATCACTTTCGAGATCTTACGCAAACTCTTCACCTGCTCCCCATACGTCTCCCAAAGAGTCTACATCGTCCTACCTGAACAAATTCACAAAATACACTGTAAAACGGCTTCCGGTATGAGATTTATTATTGTTTGTTATGCATTTTTCAATCAAGTTTTCAACACCTTTTTGTTATTTGTATATTGCTATATTGGCGAACATAATTGGAACTGTCATTGTTGGAGGTATATCGTGGGATCTTCTATACACTTGGTATCAGAATAGATGTAACGAATGTCTCCTCAACGAGACAGTGGAAAAGGGCACTCGACCTTATGTGAGAGTTTCAGGAGACAAATTGGTTCCTCGACCTGTAATTATGGAGCGTCTTAAAAAGATTCTTCAGCCTGATGAAGACCAATCATATTATCATGTGGTTTGTGGAGAACACGGAACTGGGAAAACCACGTTAACCAGAATTGCGTCAAGGAAAGTAGGGAAGGATAAGGACAAGGGTATACAGGGTGGAATGGGTGTCATATACGTTGAAATTCCTGCTGATGCAAAAGATATAGAGAACTTTGGCATAGCATTTGGAAAATCTCTTAACTTTGCATTTGAGGAATGTATCTCTTTTACGGGACAGTTTATGAATAAAATATTAGGTCATACCAATAGTAAGTTGATCATTATTATCCTTTACAACTGAAACTTTTGATCCTAGTGTTTCTCTTTATAGGTAAAGATGAGCGTTCCAAGTGGAAAAGAGCCTTAGAAGCCTTCAAGCGTGCTAGTGCAGTGTACGAAGCAAAACACAACAAACCTCCAGTCATTGTTTATGACAACGTCAGCCGATTGGTTCATAAGAATCCGGATATCCTTGATATTCTCCAGGATGATGCAAAGGACAATGCCGATTTCAGTAAATACATTGCAGTATTTGTCTGTAGCGAAGGTTCAGTTCCTCGAAGAATGGAATGTAAGTACTGCATTGTTTTTTGATGCACCCCAAGAATTGTTACTTACAGATTGTGATTTTATTTTAGCTCGTAGTGCTTGGTCACGTGCAGACAAACCAGTGATAGAAATCGGAGACCTTAGCGAGGAAGAATCAATGGAATATCTAATCGACAAGCGCAAGATCAACTCTGTAGAGGCAAAAAAAACTATATGATTTAGTAGGTGGACGCATCTTAGAACTGAAGGCCACGGCTGATAAATTTCAGGCTAGACAACCCTTTGAAGGTAAGAATCAGTTTCATCAAATGTATTTACACGAGTGTTTTGGATTAATCACTTAACTCTTTTTCTGTAGTCATTAAAGCGCAAGTCTTTGGTACAGTTTATGATAATCTTGAGAAGGCAGAAATGAATCCACGTCAACCATATCATGAGGCGGCAAAAATTATAATAAGAGCTTTGTTAAATTCCGATGGTATGATTCATGTTAGTAAGATTCGAGAAATGGCCAAAGTGGAACCAAGCAAGTTGTTGGATGGTAATGTATTTGCATATCACCCTCAAAATAAGACTGTAACTTTTCAGTCTCAATCGATATATAGTTATATCCAGGAAAATACTAATATATTCCTTAAATAAAGTTTTATGATTTACATGACTTCAAAAATTTTCAATATTACAAAATAAGACCTTGCATGAGAGAAATCGCTCAGGGATCCAAAGCCCTTGACCAAGTCAAAATGAACGTTCCTATTCTTTAGGATTTTCACAATTGAGAAAACTGATACATTACGGCTAAATGATTCATCCACTGGTCATAAAACAAATCTATATTTACTCCGCCTGCTAACATATACCCAACCAAGATAAAATGAATGCTCAGGAGCGTCGCAATATTTAGGATTTGACTCGCCCATAAAGGGTCTGCAAAATGGTGAGTTAATTTGTCGAGTTTACAGGACCTTGTTGCACATAACATCTTTTGAAGAAATTGTATTTCGGTGTGATTACCCTTCCGTGTCTGGATCAATTGTTCGTCATATACGCTTTTTTGACGCGCTTTATTCATCGTATTCGACCTCGCAGTAAATCTGCGGTTGAGGTGACGGTAAAGACCGAACAGAGAAGTGATATGATTTTCCAGTTTTCGAGAGTTGTAGATAAACACAGAATACTAATGATTGGACTAGCATGAATGCGACGAACACGAATTGCGTATCCCACGGTTTGACGCGATATAATTTGTGATTTCGCACTAACGAGTTATTAGATTTGTGTGCGTTTTGCGCTGTATTGTAAATTGTTCTAAGAACGAACCCGTGGATATATTTTGCGAAATTGGCGTGTTTTATAGTTCATGGGGTATCTCGCTCATTTCTTTGTGTATGACTCCTAGAAAGCCAATTTGTCGCTTCATTATGAATTCGCACGCAAAACAAAATTGGTGTTGGGGAGATGCTTCAATAGATGAATTAACTATATTGTACACCCCGTATTAAATGAATTGAGGGTCAGGGACATCAGTTATTTTTTGTATGCAGTGGATGATCATTATACTGGTAATGAAATACACATAACACGATTGACATTTCCGGATCTTCATTAATGCACACAGTAATTTATTAATAGTAAATAGGCCATTGGTTCACAGTAATTACAAAATCAAATCATAGCCATTTTGCTAAGCTAATCCACCTTAACTCTCTTATTTCCACCTTCCAATTCATCAGCTTTTTGGACCTCTTCTAGTAACCATACGATGTGAGAAAGCACTCTTTTTACCTTGTCTTTCATGTTAACATCATCATACGCAACGATCACTAGTTTCGATAACTTGAATGCGGGTCATTCCTGTTCATCTAGGGAGCATTCCATAAAATAAAATTTCTCAGCGTCGGTAACTATCCCAAAAACTTTTCCAACTGTCGGATTCTCTTCTAACTCATTAGCCTTGCGTTTACGATTCGACAAGGATGACTCGAGCTGGACCGCACATTGAACAACTCCTTTGACAAAATTATCCTTCTTAACCTCAGTGACTCCCACAGTTTTTGCCGTTCGACGCAAGTCGATTGTGAAATCAACAGGACCATGTCCATTCGGACCAGAAAGATTTTTTTGAGGGCGGACCTCGAATACACCTTTGAAATTATTCGCTCCAGCAAGCAGGTATGAATAGACGTATATAGATTTCGTGACTTCGATTGATATCAGATTTATTGGAGTGATGTCAAGTCGTGAATTTAACTCTAGCATGAGATTTTTAAACACTTCTTGCGATGGTTCGATACTACCACACGAAAAGAGTGGGAACACTGCTAATGTTGGATCTTCTGTTTCGGCGCTAAGACTAAAAAGCTGACACACTGAACCAAGAGTCCAATCTGAGAACGCTTTTGAGGGAGTCTCTATGAACACGGTAATCTTGAGGTTATTCTTTGATATCAGCAACCGGAGCATTTCACACAATACTTGATCGTTTCGAGGTGAGTATTTCCCGCTGTCGCAGACAACGTTGAACACCGCTCCATCATTTTCAAGTGCTGGATGTATGGAATCTTTGAGAGCTTTGAGGGTCGCATGCTCAATATTCACTGTCCACTTGAATCCCTTCGTCCGTTTCGGGCTTAAAATAACATCGAATTCTGCAACACAACAGCTGGATTAGTAAAAAAGGATATAGTCTGATCGTTCCCTGAGGGAAAGATTTTTTGCAAAGAATTTTGGGGACGGGCCGTCTCGGAAATTCCGAGAAATTTTTACATATATATACGTACCATGAACAGACTTATTGAGCTGTGCTCGCAACAAGGCGAGTTGATCAAGCAATTCCTGCTCACG